TGAGGAAGGAGAATTGCTTGAACCCAGGAGGCAGAGGTTGCACCACTGCACTCCAGCCTGAGTGACAGAAGGAGACTCTGTCTCAAAAAAAAAAAAAAATTGTTTTCACTTGAGAACCTTAGCTACCTCACATTTGTTCCAAGACACTAACCCATGACTTGAGTATAATCAAGGACAGGGACACAGTCAGATTTTAAGATCCGTTCTGGCTAATGGACCTGTTCGAGTCCATTGAAGACACAGTCTATTTCCATAGGACAACCCCTTGAAAGAAGATCCAGTTCATACAACATTTAAGATATCCATTAGGATGGCCATGACTCTTCCAGCCCATTGCCCGCTGGAGGGTGTGTCGGGAGCACAGGCCAGATGGAACGGGGAGAAAGAGAGAGAGGGTAACTGTACAAAAGCAGAGTTGAACTAATCTGCTCAATATAGGAGCTAAAAATCTGTTGTCTGAGTCCCTGTTCCCTGACTGACTGCTGATTGAGGAATTATTAAAAGGCAAACTGCTCTGAGAAAGTGTCCAAGATCCAAAAAGCGCTGAGAGTCAACAGTTAGGTCTTCACAAATTCTTTCAGCAAATGTGTCCCTTAACTGTGAGACACTCCTCCACCACTCTCTTTCCCTCTCTCCAGTTATCTCCTTCTCTCCAAGCCCTCTCCCTCCCACTATCTCCACCCTTTGTCAATTTAGTGATTACCAGAGCCACAGTTCTTTAAGAAACTGCACTGATAAAGAAGAAAAAAGGTGGAAGGTCAGGTAGCATGGGGCCATTTTCAGAATTTTTAGACTGGGGACCCCAAATTTTAATTGCTGTTTAAAATCAAATATACTTAAGACCCTCACATAATCCACTATAACAACAACCACCACCTCAAACTAAAGCAGTCATTTTACTTAAAATGGGAACTTCTTAGACTACTTTTGTTTTTTTGTTTTTTTGTTTTTTTTGAGATGGAGTCACTCTATTGCCCAGGCTGGAGTACAGTGGCATAATCTTGGCTCACTGCAACCTTTGCCTGCCGGGTTAAAGTAATTCTCCTGCCTCAGACTCCAGAGTATCTGGGATTATAGGCATGTGCCACCACACCCAGGTGATTTTT